ATACATCTCAAATTTTTGAGATATATTCGCAATATTGACGGAAATATATCGAGTTTAGATTCGTTTTGAACTATTATTAATAATTATACTGACAAATTGGATTTGTAGGTACCATTTGACAACCTTTAATTAATATATATCTTAAGAATCTAAGGATACTTATTTATGATTTCACTACTAAATTAGTAATCGTGATTAAAAATGCTTTAATTTGATACCAAACTCGATTTAAATCAAACAAAAACTAAAAAAATAGAGATATATAGAAATAAGTATCTCCAATTTTTGAGATATATCCAAAAATATATCCAAATTATGATTATTTCCGAAGTATTTTTGATTATTACAACGATAAATTAGAATTGAAGGTGATATTTGATAAATTTTAATTAAAAAATTTGACATATCTCAAAAATTAAAAGATATTTAGCTTTAATTTTAACATAACTTCACCGCAGTGATTGAAAATACTTTAATTTGATGACAAAACATGATGTTTTTCAATATAAATTAAAAATATTAGAGATTCATAGAAATACATCTCAAATTTTTGAGATATATTCGCAATATTGACGGAAATATATCGAGTTTAGATTCGTTTTGAACTATTATTAATAATTATACTGACAAATTGGATTTGTAGGTACCATTTGACAACCTTTAATTAATATATATCTTAAGAATCTAAGGATACTTATTTATGATTTCACTACTAAATTAGTAATCGTGATTAAAAATGCTTTAATTTGATACCAAACTCGATTTAAATCAAACAAAAACTAAAAAAATAGAGATATATAGAAATAAGTATCTCCAATTTTTGAGATATATCCAAAAATATATCCAAATTATGATTATTTCCGAAGTATTTTTGATTATTACAACGATAAATTAGAATTGAAGGTGATATTTGATAAATTTTAATTAAAAAATTTGATATCTCAAAAATCCAAAGATATTTAACTTTCATTTTAACATAACTTCACCGTAGTGATTGAAAATACTTTAATTTGATAAAAAAACATAATGTTTTTCAATATGAACTAAAAATATTAGAGATTCATAGAGATACATCTCAAATTTTTGAGATATATTCGCAATATTGACGGAAAGATATCGAGTTTGGATTTATATTGAAGTATTATTAATAATTATTAATATTAATTATTAATAATCATAATTTGGATAAATTTTTGAAAATATCTCAATAATTGGAGATACTTATTTCTATATATCTCTATTTTTTTTTAGTTTTTGTTTGATTTAAATCGAGTTTAGTATCAAAATAAAGCATTTTTAATCACGATGACGAATTTAATGTTAATAAAGCAGTTTGGGTTTATACCAATTTTAGTCAAGGATTTAGCCGTACGTCTTTCGAAACGGCTAAACCTGAATGATTCTAGTTCTTGGTCTAGCGCTGCATAGGTAATAATGAAAACTAGAACTAACACTAGAACTAAAAACGCAACAACAACATATATACAGATATGTATAGATATATAAAATAATAAAGTATACCTTATTAATAACTTTAGTTCCGTTAAATCTTTTAACGAATTCCTCAGGAGTGGCTACGGTGAAATCTTTTTCTTGTTGGCGATTTTGTAGCATCACAGTTCCCTGTGACATACTAGGCCTAAAACATAAAAATTAATTGCAAAATTAGAAACTTAAAAAAACAATTTATATATATAATTAGGAATACCATTGTCTTCGAATTCGAAGCATTCCCAACATAATCGCTTCATTTGGAACTCTTTACAAAATGAAAAACGACAACGAAAACGGAAAATTAAATTTATTGACGTTTATTATGATTGACGTTATATCAAATTAAATTTTGAGGTTGTGATGTTTCTGTAAAATTCTAGATTGTAATTTTATATCTTCTTATTTGGTTGATTCGGGGAAACAAGATTGTTGGGGAGATGTTTATTAATAGTTAACTTAGCAAAAACAACGCTAGCTTAATTGATGATATATTGAATAGACCAGGATTAAAAAATTTGTGGCCAGTGTCTCGGCCACAAGCGAACTCGGCTTAGTTCTTCGGATCAATTATTTCTTCTGATTGAGCCGAGGCGCTGCTATATGTTGTTCGAATACGAGTTCATATGGTAATAATTGCAGTGCCTCGACCACAAACGACTTCGGCTTTTGCGGTGTTAACCGATACTTGTACCTGTCACTTTGGAACAGGTATTTGTATGTTGCAGTATGTAGTTTCTTAGAACAGTTAGTAAATTTAAAAAATATATTAAACTAAAATACTAGTTTTATAAACGTTATTTAACGATTATAAGTTATTTTAAACGGAAGAAGATAGTTTTATTACATAATAAATTGAACCTAAAACCGAAGAAAACCGCATAACAACGTTATTTTCGTTGGAATTAAAATCGGAACTGAACCAATATATTTTTTTAATTGTAACGAAAAAAATAACACTTGAAGCTCTGGTTTTAACGATAACAGCCTAATGTATTCAAATTAGAATTACATACAGGTACAGGTTAAGTATAGTATAAATTGTTAAAATTGATGATTTTGACACTTTTCACTTTTGAAAAATTGATTAAGATGGTAGAACTGCTTAATGGAAATGTATTAGAGATAATTATAAAAACATTCTTTTATCCGAAACATTTCTTTCTAAACCTTCTAATTCCCGATTAAATACCATTATTGTTAAAATATATGATTTTGAGACTTTTCACTTTTGGATTAATTAAGATAGTAAAACTGCTTAATGGAATATACCCGATTACTGGAAATATATTTAGAGTTAATTATCAACATTTTTGATCCGAAACATTTCTTTCTAAACCTTCCAATTCCGGAAATATTAAATACCATTATTGTTAAAATTAAGGATTTTGAGACTTTTCACTTTTGGATTGAATAAGATGGTAGAACTGCTTAACGGAACATACCCGATTACTGGAAATGTATTTAGAGTTAATTAGCAACATTTTTAATCCGAAATATATCTTTCTAAACTTTCCAATTCCCAAAATATTAAATACAATTACTGTTCAAATTTATGATTTTGACACTTTTCACTTTTAGATTGGTTAAGTTGGTAAAACTGTTTAATAGAATAAACCCGATTAAGAGATATGCATTTAGAGTTAATTAACAACATTTTTTTATCCGAAACATTTATTTCTAAACCTTCAACTTCTCGAGATATTAAATACTATTGATAAAATTGATGATTTTGACACTTTTCACTTTCGAATTGATTAAGTTGGTACAACTGCTTAATGGAATAAAACCGATTGCTAGGAATGTTTTTTGAGTTAATTAGCAACATTTTTTTATAAGAAACATTTCTTTCTAAACTTTCAAATTTTCGAGATATTACATACTATTGTTGTTAAAATTGATGATGTTGACACTTTTCACTTTTAGATTGACTAAGTTGATAGAACTGGTTAACCCGACTTAAGGATATGTATTTAGAGTAAATTAGCAACATTTTTTATCTGAAACATTTCTTTCTAAACATTCAAATTCTTGAGATATTAAATACTGTTGTTATTAAAATTAATGATTTTGACACTTTTCACTTTTGAATTGATTAAGTTGGTAGAAGTGCTTAATGGAATAGCACCGATCATCACAAACGTTTTTTGAGTTAATTAGCAATATTTTTTATCCGAAACATTTCTTTCTAAACCTTCAAATTCTCGAGATATTAAATACTATTGCTGTTAAAATTGATGATTTAGACACATTTCACTTTTAGATTAAGTTGATAGAACTGGTTAATGGAATAAACCCGACTTAAGGATATGTATTTAGAGTAAATTAGCAACATTTTTATACGAAACATTTCTTTCTAAACCTTCAAATTCTCGAGATATTAAATACTATTGTTGTTAAAATTAATGATTTTGACACTTTTCACTTTTAGATTAATTAAGATGGTAGAACTGCTTAATGGGATACACTTGATTACTGAAAATGTATTTAGAGTTAATTAGCAACATTTTTTATCCGAAACATTTCTTTCTAAACCTTCCAATTCCCGAAATATTAAACACCATTTTTGTTAAAATTAATGATTTTGATACATTTCACTTTTGAATTGATTAAGTTGGTAGAACTGCTTAATGGAATAAAACCGGTGATTAGGAATGTTTTTAGAGTTAATTAGGAACATTTTTTATCCGAAACATTTCTTTCTAAACTTTTTTATTTCCGAAACATTAAATACCATTATTGTTAAAATTAATGATTTTGACACTTTTCACTTTTGGATTGATTAAGTTGGTAGAACTACTTAATGGAATAAACCTGATTACTGGAAATGTATTTAGAGTTAATTAGCAAAATTTTTTTATCCGAAACATTTCTTTCTAAACCTTCCAATTCCCGAAATATTAAACACCATTTTTGTTAAAATTAATGATTTTGACACATTTCACTTTTGAATTGATTAAGTTGGTAGAACTGCTTAATGGAATAAAACCGGTTATTAGGAATGTTTTTAGAGTTAATTAGCAACATTTTTTATCCGAAACATTTCTTTCTAAACTTTTCTATTTCCGAAACATTAAATACCGTTATTGTTAAAATTAATGATTTTGACATTTTTCACTTTTGGATTGATTAAGATGGTAGAACTGCTTAATGGAATAAAACCGATTACTGGAAATGTATTTAGAGTTAATTACCAACATTTTTTATTCGAAACATTTCTTTCTAAACCATTAAATTCCAGAAATATTAAATACCATTTTCGTTAAAATTAATGATTTTGACACATTTCACTTTTGAATTGATTAAGTTGGTAGAACTGCTTAATGGAATAAAACCGGTTATTAGGAATTTTTTTAGAGTTAATTAGCAACATTTTTTATCCGAAACATTTCTTTCTAAACCTTTCTATTTCCGAAACATTAAATACCGTTATTGTTAAAATTAATGATTTTGACATTTTTCACTTTTGGATTGATTAAGATGGTAGAACTGCTTAATGGAATAAAACCGATTACTGGAAATGTATTTAGAGTTAATTACCAACATTTTTTATTCGAAACATTTCTTTCTAAACCATTAAATTCCAGAAATATTAAATACCATTTTCGTTAAAATTAATGATTTTGACACATTTCACTTTTGAATTGATTAAGTTGGTAGAACTGCTTAATGGAATAAAACCGGTTATTAGGAATTTTTTTAGAGTTAATTAGCAACATTTTTTATCCGAAACATTTCTTTCTAAACCTTTCTATTTCCGAAACATTAAATACCGTTATTGTTAAAATTAATGATTTTGACATTTTTCACTTTTGGATTGATTAAGATGGTAGAACTGCTTAATGGAATAAAACGGATTACTGGAAATGTATTTAGAGTTAATTAGCAACATTTTTTATCCGAAACATTTCTTTCTGAACCTTGAAATTCCCGAAATATTAAATACCGTTATTGTTAAAATTAATGATTTTGAGACTTTTCACTTTTTATTGTTGATTAAGTTGGTAGAACTACTTAATGAAATAAACCCGGTTACTGGAAATGTATTTAGAGTTAATTAGCAACATTTTTTATTCAAAACATTTTTTTCTAAACCTTCCAATTCCCGAAATATTAAATACTATTGCTGTTAAAATTGATGATTTTGACACTTTTCACTTTTGAATTGATTAAGTTGGTAGAACTGCTTAATGGAATAAACCCGATTACTGGAAATGTATTTAGAGTTAATTATCAACATTTTTTATCCGAATCATTTCTTTCTAAACGTCCCAATTTCCGAAATATTAAATACTATTGCTGTTAAAATTGATGATTTTGACACTTTTCACTTTTGAATTGATTAAGTTGGTAGAACTGCTTAATAGAATAAAACCGGTTATTAGGAATGTTTTTAGAGTTAATTAGCAACATTTTTTATCCGAAACATTTCTTTCTAAACTTTTCTATTTCCGAAACATTAAACACCATTATTGTTAAAATTAATGATTTTGAGACTTTTCACTTTTTATTGTTGATTAAGTTGGTAGAACTACTTAATGAAATAAACCCGATTACTGGAAATGTATTTAGAGTTAATTAGCAACATTTTTTATCCGAAACATTTCTTTCTAAACCTTTCTATTTCCGAAACATTAAATACCATTATTGTTAAAATTAATGATTTTGACATTTTCACTTTTGAATTGATTAAGATGGCACAACTGCTTAATGGAATAAACTCGATTACTGGAAATACATTTAAAGTTAATTAGCAATATTTTTTATCCAAAACATTTCTTTCTAAACCTTCCAATTCCCGAAATATTAAACACCATTATTGTTAAAATTAATGATTTTGAGACTTTTCACTTTTTATTGTTGATTAAGTTGGTAGAACTACTTAATGAAATAAACCCGATTACTGGAAATGTATTTAGAGTTAATTAGCAACATTTTTTATCCGAAACATTTCTTTCTAAACCATCAAACTCTCAATATATTAAATACTATTGCTGTTAAAATTGATGATTTTGGCACTTTTCACTTTTAGATTGATTAAGATGGTAGCACTGCTTAATGGGATACACTCGATTACTGAAAATGTATTTAGAGTTAATTAGCAACATTTTTTATCCAAAACATTTCTTTCTAAACCTTCCAATTCCCAAAATAT